TCGATCATCTTCAGGTGCCTGTAGAAACCCGCCTGATCCCCCTCGCGGCTCTTCTTCTCGAGCTGCCGTACATAGCCCTCGAAGAACGTTTCCAGTGCTTTCCACCTCGCGATGCTGCGCTTCTTCCGCACCGCCTTGAGCATCTCCTTCAGGGTCGCCTCGAAGGCGCTGTTCTTTGAGGCCCCACGCAGTTGCTACTGGGCCGCCTTAATCTCCTTAGACGCTTCGGAGATCTCGTGCTGTGCTTCGCTCGTGTACCAGCTTCTCTGCCCTCGTGCGCACCTCGCCAGCGGCGCGATCTCAGCAGCGGCCGACATCACCGTAGCCGTCAGCTTGGCGGCGGTCTATCCGTTGGCCGCCTGAGCGCCGTGGGCGGAGGGCGGCTGGAGGCCCTGTTTTGGAAGGCGACCCGCGTAGGTGTTGAATGTACTGTACTGACAACACGGCCCTCAGTACTGTATACTGACTGGCTGCTTTAGTGCGGACTTGAATACCGGAATAAATGTACTGTACTGTACTAAACACACCCTTGATATTTTTCACCCCATGGGGATTCGAACTCACGATCTCTGCGACCAGCGGATTACGAGGATACCACTAGACCACCGGGGCGACCTATGTGGGTCTGTGTTGTTGTTGTTGTTGTTGTTTTTCTTCACATTTAACTCGTGTCAGTTGTTAATCCCAATATCTAGCAAAGACTCGGTCCGTTGTCACAAAAATGCTAGAGTCATCGGAAGATCTAAAGCACACACACTATTAGCAAGAACAGGGTACACAAGCCCGAGGAGGTAGACTAGACTATACCTACAATCCCTGCAGCACGTTTGCGTGCTCACAACTCAACTACACGCCCACACACTACAATTCGACTACAGCAGCAGAATCACCCCCCTTGTCCCGCATTTAATAACCAAAATAAATGTTTATCGACTTTGTCGACGATGTCTGAAGTGCTGTCTGTACAATAATAACTCCATGGAACATGGTACACAAGCTCGGGGCATGTAGCTGCTCTCNTTAATCCCAATATCTAGCAAAGACTCGGTCCGTTGTCACAAAAATGCTAGAGTCATCGGAAGATCTAAAGCACACACACTATTAGCAAGAACAGGGTACACAAGCCCGAGGAGGTAGACTAGACTATACCTACAATCCCTGCAGCACGTTTGCGTGCTCACAACTCAACTACACGCCCACACACTACAATTCGACTACAGCAGCAGAATCACCCCCCTTGTCCCGCATTTAATAACCAAAATAAATGTTTATCGACTTTGTCGACGATGTCTGAAGTGCTGTCTGTACAATAATAACTCCATGGAACATGGTACACAAGCTCGGGGCATGTAGCTGCTCTCTGACGTGCTGTCAGAATGAGTGAGTCCGTGGACATACAATGAAGAAGAACACCCAAACCAACCAAAGTCATCATTGCAATTGACAATCACCCGAATCTGTCGGAACTCTCCGGTAGCCCCGCCCGGTGGTCTAGTGGTGTCCGCGTAATCCGTTAGTCGCAGATGTCGCGAGTTCGAATCCCCATGGGGTGAAATTTTTTCGAAAGGTGCGGGTGAAAGAGAAACACAGCTGACAAGCTCTCGTGAATACCAAACTTCGACGTTAGGCCTATTGTTATGGGGAATTCCAATTTGGAAATTTGCGAGTTGGAAAAAGCGGATTCCAGCGGGGAATTCCAATT